TTTTTAGCTTTCTTCCTGTATGGAAAGCTTTTCAGAATATGAAACATTAGTGCAGTGGTTTATGTTAAAATAAACCTTTGGGTTAAGTTGTCGCAAGCAGGTTTTTCTTGTGTTTCTTGTGAATCTGGTCTTAAATTTCTATTTCAAGTGGCATTAAAAAGTCTTAAAAAGTCTTGAATTTAACTTGCCTTATGCTGTAGGAACCCTGTGAAATTCGGAAATGTATTAAGATATTAGTTTAGCCCAGTAACTTTGCTGTTGTTCCACCTCCCTATTGGCTGCAGAAAGCCAGATTTTCAGCAGCCAATAGGAAGGCAGTGTGTGCTGCAGCACAGCCGCACTGGATGGATCCTTTCATGGAAGAGTTAAAGTCTAGGACCAAACTCTCGAAGAATGGGTGCTATGCTAGCTGTGCTACACATGGTGGTATAAAATGTTAAAGTTCTCTTTACCTTTGGTAAAAGGAAAATTGTCTAATTCTGCACTGCTTTGTCAGAAGTTGTCCAAATTAAAATAGACTAAAACTCAAAGTCAAAGGATCTAAAGACATTTCTAATGCTCGGTCTTCCTCTTCCGCAGCTCTAATCAGAAAGCAGCACACTGCAGAGCTCCACCTGGGGGACTTCCTGGTCTTCCTACGGAGGGTGGTCTCCTCCAAGGCCATCCAGTCCAAGATGGCTTCTCCCAAATGGACGGAGGTTCTGCTTAACATCGCGGCTCAGAAGTGCTGCTCAGGTATGCCCTCTGCAGGTACCGCATGAGTCCATGGGGGGGCGCAGATGGGACTGCGGAACTGGGGGTGGGTGTGTAGAGCTAATGACTTTACCTTGATAGGTTCTGCTAGTTTCTCTCCCACAATCAATGAAAAACAAACTCTCTAATTGCAAATTTGTTCAATGGCTATAAAACATGACATCTTAACATCGCGCTCCCTGCTACCTTGACATTGATGATCTTTCCCTCCGGCCTGAACAGGCTTTAGTTTTACTTCAGCTTAGAGCAGATGCCTTTGATCAACATTGTAAAACTATTATTTTGAACTTCTGGAAAGTTGTTTTTGTTCTTTTCTACACTGAATGTTTGACTGTTGAGCTCCAACAAACATAACCTTAATGTGATGTTCTCTGTGAGCATCTTCACCTCATAAACACCAAAAACATGGAGTAGTTGTTAGGCGAGCAGGAGACGGCAGCATCGTATTCCAGACTGCAGGTTAGGGCTGGACGTTAAACCAGATTTTTACCGATTTTTACCGTCATGCACTTTAATAACCGGCGCAAATTTTTCCATGTCGGTAAATAAATCTTTCCTGTGTGCGAGCGTGGCTGGTATTTCCTTCAGCTTTAAAGTTGTAGGGAAGTCATATTAAAATTTTTTATATTTCTGACTTAAACATGTATATACATGTACTCTTTATCAGACCATACTGTCCTAAAATTTAGAGCATTTCTATTTTTTTTTTAAATCCGGTCTTAAAATCTGTGGGTTTTTTTTCGTTATTATATGCAGGCCATTTAGTTAAACATCAGCTTTTACACCTAAATGCAGTCAATCATATATCAACGGTCATCTGTCATCTTGATTCATAGGTCGCTAATATACGCAACGGTTGAAATGATAAATCAGAATTGTTTCCTTTCCCATTGAGTTCCGTCCCAGTGTTCACGGGGATGGACGTCTGTGTCTTCAGCAGGCGTAGAGCTAACAGAACTGGCAGCGTTGCGAGGCAAGGGCTCAAACATGTACGGCTGGAAGCCTTCTACACCAAACCAAGCTTCTGCCGCCCTGGCGTCCTCTTCCACAACATCTTCGTCCCCGCTTTCCTCCTCTAAATAAAAAATGGATGACGGAGGAGACTCATCCACGACCTCCGACACTAAACTCTCCTCCTCTTGCATGTTTCCGCTGTCCATAGCGTTCCTTGACAGCGTCGTTTCTAAGTCACCAATTTAGTGCTACTTGCTCCCAATGGAATTTCCCATTGGGAACCTGCTAGCACTAAGTTGCTAACTGGTTAGCAAGATTCTTCCCACAAACCGGCCACAACCAAACTTGCTTGCAAACCTTCCGCCACAACAATCCCACCTTCTTGATAATCAACAAATCATATTCACTTTATTCACTCGTGTAAAGTCGGGCATCACTCGGGAGAATTCGGAAATGCAACGGTTGGAACAGCAGCTTCCTTACGACTTTAAGACACGGGAGCATGTGGGGAATGATGTGACTCCACCGATTCAGTCAGAAGCGTAAAACACAGACAATGATGGAGAATGAAGAAGCGTAAACAAAGCTGTAAACGAAATGACATCAGTTAATCCTGTGGGGCCAAGCGAGGGCAGATATGAAATCGGGAGCGCGTTGTCAGTTGAGCCTGCGGCAGACGTGTTTTGAGTGAAGGTGTGCGAGTTTGAATTATGCACATCGTTCTTACTGCACCGATGTTACGTCATAGATGTTGAGCAAAAGAACAGGAAATGTAGAGTTAGTCTGAAAACTGTGGGGAATCCCCAAAGTAACACAACCAACCTCCAAAACCTACAGCACAGCCACGCCAAGGAGTTCAAAGATGTGCAAACGGCTCCATTACCTTTGAGCAAACTGTTTTCCTCCTGTTCAATGAGACATTCCTGAATGTTTAAACCTAAATGGGTACCAGAGTTTAATATTTGATTAAAAGTAATATATAATGTGATTTATTGAATGAATGAATCAGTTGCATTTCTTGCACATGCCTTTATTTCTAATAGAGGAGCATTTATTGTTAACAAGGTTAAACTTTGATATTGATTTAAGGTCATATCACCCAGCCCTGATACAGGGTCACTAAAGTATGCATTCAGAGGAGTAACCTCTAGCATCAGGGTCCCCCATGGTAGATAATGCCCCCTTTGTGGGCGCGGATCAGACGATGACATTTACAGCTGCTTGGTGTTCCAGGGGTCCCTCTGGTGGGGAACATGAGAACTCGGCTCCTGGCTCTGCATGTCCTGGAGGCCGTCCTGCCGGCCTGCGACGTCAACATGGAGGAAGACCAGCTGTCCCAGGTGGGTCTGGCTTTGTCCTAAACGTGTCCTCAGAGAGGAGCCTGGAGGCTGATGCTTGGTTTGTCCTCCAGGTGGTGGAGCGGCTCTTCTCTCTGCTCTCAGACTGCATGTGGGAAGCTCCGGTAGCTCAGGCCAAACATACCATCCAGATCAAAGAAAAGGTCCAGGAGCTGAAGCTCCAGGTGAGGATGGACCAAATCCAGCGTCTGTCTGCAGTTTAGCATCGATGGCAAAAGCTGATGGTTAGTCTGATCCACAGGGGGATGCAGAAGAGGAAGATGAGAACCTTCCTGTTCAGGAAGTTTCCTTTGACCCGGAGAAGGCTCAGTGCTGCGTGGTGGAGAACGGCCAGGGTCTGACCCACGGCAGCGGAGGGAAAGGTTACGGCCTGGCCTCCACTGGGATCTCCTCAGGATGCTACCAGTGGAAGGTGAGTCAGGAGCTGAGGACCCCCCCCCCCCGAACTCTGAGCCCACCTGACCCTCTGTTTGTTTTTCCTGTAGTTCTACATCGTGAAGGAGAACCGAGGAAACGAGGGAACATGTGTGGGAGTGTCCAGGTGGCCCGTCCACGACTTCAACCACCGCACCACGTCCGACATGTGGCTGTACCGGGCGTACAGCGGAAACCTGTATCACAACGGGGAGCAGCCGCTGACGCTGAGCAGCTTCACACAGGGAGACTTCATCACCTGCGTCCTGGACATGGAGGCCAGGACCATCTCCTTTGGCAAGAATGGGGAGGTGAGAGATGATTAAAGGACAGCTCACCCCAAATTCTGCTTTGTTTGGGAATAAACTCTACAGATGGATGGTGCTAGCAACATGTCAAAGACTCCAGGTGCTGCGTTTCTTTCTCTTAACCCTCATTTTGAAGAATCGCATCAGAAGTGCTTGATGGAAACGGCAAAATTTGGAAGAAATCTTTTCCCCAAATTCGCAAAAATAAAAAAAAAAGTTTTTTTATATTTTGTGATTAGTGTTGTTACGTAAAACACGACATTGATTTAATCTGCTCTGACATTGCAAACTTTTACCTCACATGACTGATCAGCTGTTGCTGCTTTCGGCGTCTTCTCAGGTGTTCCTTTTATTCACATTAACATGTCTGGAAGCCGCATCAACATTCCTACCTGACATTTTACATTAAAACTTTGCTCCATCACTGATCTGTGGTCAGTGCCAGATTGACCTCTAATTCCTGTCTGTTACAGCTAGGGGTGTAAATCACATCCATCATGGCGATTAGATTCAGTATCGATTTCCTGATCCAATGATTCGATTATTTTCGATAGTCAAGAATACACCACGATTCGATTTGATTCGATTAATTGGTTCATTTATTTTATTTTTTTATACACCTGACAGGCTAGATGTTTAAAATTTGTTTAAAATTTGAAATAAATCAATGAAAGCTGTAATATCGTTATGCATTTTTTATTTAGAAACAACAGCAAATAACAGAAGTAGAAAAGTTGCATCAAAAAATACTGCAGAAAATCAATGCAATGAGTGCAATTAAATAACTCGGCTCCAAACGTCCCGCCCCCTCCACAGATGCTCCGCTGCTCCTCTCCCGTATTGTAGCTGACCGCAGACAGGAGGCCGGCTTGTTTTGTTTTTTTGACTGAAATTGCGGAAAAGAACTCGTGAAGTTTGACCCGCTAGAAGAGCGAGGTGCGCGAGAACGTTGGGACCCTTTTTCCAGCTGAATCTCCGCTCTTTTTGGCCCTCATGTCCCTCCGTCGTCGGACTAAACTCGCCCCCACTTCCTCGCCGCCTCGGCCGTATCTAGACCCACAGCGTGTAGCACAGACCACGCTGCAATATTGAGCATAAATCAAAAATGTCTGTGTCAAGCTCACTGCAACGCTCTGCTGTAAGAGTATAACCAGGAAGCGAGGTAGGAGGGCAAAATAGGTTTAGCGCCACCGCAGCACGGGAGGGAGAATTACACCCAGGAGCAAATGGATTAAAATAGACCGGAGGAAAAAAAAACATGAATCGATTCTCTTGCGGAAGTGTCGATGCATCGGATCGTTGGCTGTTCGATTGATGCATCGATACAAAACGATTATTATTTACACCCCTAGTTACAGGCGTGCGTGATGACGTAATATGGACAACGACGTAGGACGACGTTAAGCTTTGGGGTTCTTGGTGGATGTGCTCTAAACCAAATAGAAAACCTACAAATTGGGGTTTATTTTTTTATTTACCTTAAAATACACATTTCAATTCGATGGAAACTCAATTGACAATTTACTCCCATTTAATGCCGACCTCTCTTTTGTTTGTAAATAATGACATCTATCTAAACTTTTGCATAATTGCACCTTATATATTAATGCTCTGATGCATATCAATGCATTTTTTTTTTTTTTTTGCAACATGCTTTTCGTCCCACACTGCTTACATTTGATCACTGCTGCTTTGTATACACTCTGTGTGCTCTGTGCAAACAAAATGACAATAAAGGTTGTCGAAGTCTAAAACACATCAAGCGCCCTCCTCAGGGTTAGGGGTGTACTGCATCAGATTTTGAACCAGTATTTTCCTTTTTTGGCCATGCAATCTAACTGACATTATATCGGGGCGATGCAAGCCTCTGGAAAGGTGTTTATCTGGTCCTTTTAACTTTAGACATGACTCTAATTTCAAAGGAAGTTCTTTGGATCCTTTTTCCTTCCACTTAACTTTCTGCTCCTCTTCATGCCGGCCTGTCATAAACCATCCCAGTAAAACATGAGATAAAATCTGAAAAGGTTCTTCATTCAGTGGTGAATACGAGCTGCTGTCGGCCTCATTCACTCCTCTCTCTCGCTCCCTCCTGGCAAACATGGATGAGAATTCTAAGTTGTGTTTTTTCACAGGAGCCCAAACTGGCCTTTGAAGATGTGGACGCAACAGAGCTTTATCCGTGCGTGATGTTCTACAGCAGCAACCCAGGAGAGAAGGTAGGAGATGTCGGTCAGAGGAGAGACGTTAAGCTGGACTCACAGGAGGGTTTTCCTTCAGTCTCCTGAGCTCTGTCTCTGTTCTGTCTTCAGGTGAAGATCTGTGACATGCAGATGAGGGGAACGCCACGCGACCTCCTCCCCGGCGATCCTGTCTGCAGCCCCATGGCCACCGTTCTGGTGGAGGCCACAACCCAGCTGATCCGCATTCTGCACCGCACCGATCACTGGACCCATCGCATCAACAAGATCATGATCGAGCGGCTGCACAAGATCAAGCCCTGCTTCAGGGATGCGGCCGGCGCCTCGGGGGGCAGCGGGGGCCAGAGGCTGAAGAAGAGTCGCTCGGTTCAGAGCCGGGAGGAGCACGACGCCCAGAGGGAGAGCCAGGAGACGCCCACTAAGACAGAGGAGGACAGAGGGAGGCACGGCCGGCAGCACGGGCTGGGGGAGCTGTCTGAGCAGCACCTGAGGAGCCTGTGCACAGACGTGTGGCCGGTGCTGGCCGTGATCGGCGGGGCGGACGCCGGGCTCCGGGTGGGAGGCAGGTGTGTGCACAGACAAACCGGGAGACACGCCACCCTGCTGGGGGTGGTGAAGGAGGGCAGCAGCTCGGCGAAGGTCCAGTGGGACGAGGCTGAGATCACCATCAGGTACTGATCCATGGTTGGAAATACTAACATCTGTCATCAAAGCGTCATTCATCTTCATTCTTTAGCTCGTTATAATAACCAGGGTGACCAGATGCTTTCTGGTCTCCTTCCTTTGCTTTTCTGGAATCTTTCTTCTCTTCCTCAAACATTCCTCATTATTTTCCTCAGCAGTTATTCTGGGTTCCTAACATCTAGCTTTTCCACATCTGGTGAAATGGGAAAAAATGTATATATCTACCTAAATATCATAATTGCAACTTTTATACCACATCTCAATGACTTAATAGGTCCTTCCTTCCTTCCTTCCTTCCTTCCTTCCTTCCTTCCTTCCTTCCTTCCTTCCTTCCTTTCCTATCATCTCTTCCTTCCTTCCTTCCTTCCTTT